TTTCTTTCTTTCTTTCTTTTTGTTGTTGTTTTTCGAGACAGGGTTTCTCTGTATAGCCCTGGCTGTCCTGGAACTCACTCTGTAGACCAGGCTGGCCTCAAACTCAGAAATCCACCTGCCTCTGCCTCCCAAGTGCTGGGATTAAAGGCGTGCACCACCACTGCCCAGCTATGAAGGTATTTTCTTAATTGAGGTTCCTGCCTAACTGATGATTCTAGCTTCTGTCAGACTGACATAAAGCTAGCCAGTACGACTACGGCTTTGCAGTCTGTTTCGAAGTACTCAGATATGGTGATGTTTACAGCTGTTTTCACTAACGATGACTTTGTTCTCTGACTTTCTTTTTTTTTTTTTTGTCGTTCTATATGAATTTTAGGATGATCTTCTGTGGGAACGTGACTGATATTTTTATGTGGGCTGCATTGAATCTGAAGATTTCAGGGGGCAGTGTAAACATTTAATAGGATTTTTCTTTCCCACCTACAAACAAGAGATGCCTTTCAGCCTGTATGTGCCTTCTTCCAATTTTTTCCTATAAGCATTTTCTTGTTTCCAGTTCAGGGAACTCTCATCTCTTTAATTAACCTATCTTTGGGGATGTTATTTTTGGTAAGCGTTATAAATGTCTTTGCTTTCCTGAGCTCTTCTTCAGGTAACTTGTTATAGGTGTGTAGACAAGATATTGATTTGATTGCATTGATTTTGTATCCTGCCGTTTGGCTGAATTTGTTATCACTATTAATTACTCTTTATTTATTATTCTACACACACACACACACACACACACACACACACACACACACACACACACACACACAGACAGTGACAGTTTGATACCTTCCTTTTCCGTTCCAATGTGGTGTATTTCTTTGACTTACTGGTTGTCTTGGCTTCCATCTCTGTGTTAAACAGAGGTGGTAAACATGCACATCTTTACCAAGTCCCAGACCTTAGTGGGAATGCGTTCACCTCTTGACACTCCACGTGGTATTGGCCACAAGCTTTAGGAGTCTTCTCTCTTAATCTCTTCCCCCCCGAGATGAAGCTATTAGTTCCGCACATCTGTGAATGAATGTTTCTTCATATTTTCTTTGAGAAAATGCCAACACCAGTGTGTTTCTAGCATCAAACATTTTCTTTCTTTCTTTCTTTTTTACTATTCATAATTTATGTCAGCCTTCTTATTTTTTTATTGATTTTTTATTGGACATTTTATTTATTTACATTTCAGATGTTATCTCCTTTCCTCATCCTCCCCCCCATCAGACACCCCCATCCCATCTCCCCTCCTCCTGATTCTATGAGGGTGTGCCCCTACCCACTCCCACCTCCCTGCCCTCAAATTCCCCCACACTGGGGCAATCAGCCTTTACCGGACCAAGGATGTCCTCTCCCACCTTTGCCCAACAAGGCCATCCTCCCCTACATATACAACTGGAGCCATGGGTCCCTCCCTGTGTGCTCCCAGGCTGGTGGTTTAGACCCTGAGGGCTCTGGTTGGTTGGTATTGTTGCTCTCCCCATGGGGCTGCAAACCACTTCAGCTCCTTCTTTCTCTAACTCCTCCATTGGGAACCCCATGATCAGTTCAATGGTTAGCTGTGAGCATCTGCCTCTGTATATGTCAGGCTATGGCAGACCTTTAAGGAGACAGCCATATCAGGCTCCTGTCAGCATCCACTACAGTGGCTGCCTTTGGTGACTGCATATGGGATGGACCCCAGGTAGGGTAGACTCCGGATGGCCCCTCCTTCAGTTTCTGGTCCACGCTTTGTCTCCATATTTGCTCCCAAAATCAAACATTTTCATTGACTCATTGATTCATTCTTTTTTTTTTTTTATGGCATTGGAGGTTGAACCTAGGGCCTCACACATGCTAGGCAAGTGTTCTATCCCCAAGCTACGTCCCCAGCCCCCTTTTTATTTATTCTTTGGAGACAGGTTTGCACTAAGTTACACAGGCTGGTCTTACACTCACTGTGTTCCCTGGTCAGGCCTTGAGCTTGTGATCCTCCTGCCTCAGTCTCTGGACTAGCTTGGATTCTGATCATAACAATGCTAGCGGTGTTCTCAGATCTCTGCTGCACTGCTTTCTGGGACAGTTCTGCTATGTTGGACCTGTATCAATGTCACCACAGTGGTGGTGGTGGTGTTTCCATTGTCCCAGGACACCAGTGAGCTTGGCATCCACCATAGCCCTGGGTAGTGAAGTGTGTTCATCTAACTTTTTGACTTTGGTCATGGGTTTCACATGTCTCTGCAATGTGGTTGTGGTATCTGTGATGACTTTGATAATGGTGGTTATCACGTGAGTATGTGACATTTGGCCTGTCAGTCACAGGAGCAACATTGAGTTCTGTGCTTACATAACTCAGCAGTAGTTTGAAAAACATACTTCTACTTAAAATGGCGCTGCCAATAGGTTTTAGGAAAGTCAAGCATGGTACCAATCTGCGTGCTCAGGATGCTTTACTCATGAATGAGAGTTATGAGTGTGTATGGAAGTGTATGCACAGAGGTGTGTGTGTACTTATTCCTGTGTGTTTGCATGTATCTACAGGGGTGTGTGTGTGTGTGTGTCTGTGTGTGTGTGTCTGTGTGTGTGTGTGTCTGTGTGTGTGTCTGTGTGTGTGTGTGTCTGTGTGTGTGTGTCTGTGTGTGTGTGTGTGTGTGTAGGCCAATTGTTGATTTTGAGTGTCTTCCTCAGTCATTCTCTACCCCAACTTTTTAAAATAAAGATTTCTTTAATTATTTTGTGTATACAAGTGTTCTGTTTTCATGCATACCAGAAGATGGAATGAAATTCCATTAAAAGATGGTTGTAGGCCACCAAATGATTGCTGGGAATTAACTCAGGATCTCTGGACGAGCAGCGTGTGTTCTTAACTGCAAAGCCATCTCTCCAGCCCGCTCCAGCCCTCTCCAGCGTACTTTTAGAGAGAGGGTCATTGAACCTGAAGCCCACAAATACAACTCTGCTGGCTGTCCAGCAAGCTCCAGGGATCTTCCACTCCCTGCCTTCTCAGAAGTGGATTAAACATATGCGCAAACACACAGCAATCATGTTTGCCTTATTTGACATGGGTCTGGGGGACCAAACTCAAGTCCTCGAACTTAGAAGGCAATCAATCACTTTAATGACTGAGCCATCTCCCCAGCCCTGAGAATGATGGTTCCGATAGACATCTGATGATACATCTGCAGCAGTGGGCTAACAGAGCAGAATCCTGGCATTGGCCTTAGAATTCACGTGACTCAGATGGTTCAGCTGGTGACATTCTGTAACCTTGACATTGGCAGTGGTGGGTCAATAACCTTGACACAGGTGCTGATGGATTTCTGTAACCTTGACACTGACATCGGTGCAGTGGAGGGAGGACCAGCCACATCTGCAGCTGCAGAGACTCAGTTTTGAGAAGTGGGTCAAGTGTTACATAAAGTTACATAACAATAGATGACAAAGCCAGACCTAAGTTTGGGTTTTCTGCATAATGCAAACAAACCCCTTTCTGCACCACACTATGAGGCTCATTCAGTCTAAATTTAAAGGCGCCTGTGTCTTCTAGCTTTCCCAGGGCTTACAGGACCGGGGCTGCCTCCCTTGTCATGACTATAGTCACAATGTCTGTCCACTTGTGTGTGTTCACGGGTGAGACTGATCAAAGTCACGAACTGCATGGTGTACATTTGAACTTCTGGAAACTTGTGGTAAACAGCAAAGAAAGTTTTCTGTTCAACTGAAGTGCTCTGTGGCTTACTCAAAACCTCATAGATATAGTTACTGAATCATGAAGGTGTCCTGACTAGTTTCATGTCAACATTACATAAGCTAGAGACATTTGGGAAGACAGACTCTAAATTGAGAAAATGCTTCCAGAAGATGAGTTTGTAGGCAAGTCTGTAGGGCATTTTCTTTGTGAGTGATTGATGAATGAAGGTCCAGCCCATTGTGGGTGGAGCCACCCCTGGGCTGGTAGTCCTGGGGTAGATAAGAAAGCAGGCTGAGCAAGCTATGGGAATAAGCCAGTAAGCAGTACTCCTCTGTGGCCTCTGCCTAAATTCTTGACTCCAAGTTCCTGCCCTGTTTGAGTTCCTGCCTTTACTTTTCTCAGTGATCTGGAACTGTCAGCTGAAGTACACCTTTTCCTCCCCAAGCTGCCTTTGGTCATGGTGTTTAATCACAGCAGTTGAAACCTAACTAAGGCAGAAGGTTGATATTAGTGAAAGTGTCGGTTGTATAAGTGGCCAAATTCTTTCTTTAAAAAAAAAATTGAGAACCTTCAGAAATTTTGTACAGACCCAGGAACATGGTGTTCAGATTGAGGGGGGAAGCAATCCCATTGAAAACAAGTTTTAATAATATTAGCATAAACATTTAAGATTTCTACATCTTAGGCAGCATATAAGGTATGCTTGAATAAAAGCTTTGAGAATATACATGTTATGACAACGGCAATGCTAACAGGTTTGAAAGAAGTCAAGGTTCTGTCAATCTCGGCATTTAAGGTGTTTCCTATAGAGGCAGGTTTACGTTTAGGGTTAAGAATTTTAATAGAGACATAATCACACCCAGAGTCATATTACAACTTATTTTGTGTGTGTGTGTGTGTGTGTGTGTGTGTGTGTGAGAGAGAGAGAGAGAGAGAGAGAGAGAGAGAGAATAGCAGTATCCACATGGGAGTCAGAGGACAACTTGTAGGAGTTGTATCTCTCCTACTATCCCTAAGATGTAGGTCTCAGGGATTAAATTCAGGGCAAGAGGCTTGGCAGCTGACACCTTTAACCTTGAACCCTTCTTACTATTCCTATTCGCATTGAATTTAAAGGTACAGTGTGACATAAGAAATGTATATTGCTTCCCCAGCCCCCTACATCGTTAGGACGTTTCTGTTGCTCTCAGTTCCCAGAGCTCATGATCTATTTCTTCCCCTTACAGTACTTGGGATGCATCGAAGTTCTGCGCTCAATGAGGTCTCTTGACTTCAGTACAAGAACTCAGGTTACCAGGTAAGCTCTCTTCAAAAAACCCTGTGACTTTATTTCTGAAAGGAAAAAGCTCAAAAGTTCACAACCTAGGAATTTCTAGGTTGAATAAGGAATAAGAAATAGGAATAGTAATAGAAATAAGGAATAGGAATAAGAAAGCTCACCCCTTCCAATACCAGAGGCTGGTGATAGAGTCAGGACCCACACTGTGTTAAAATATAGGTGTATCTGTCCATGCATGGAGAGATATGTCTCTTGTTGGGAGCACCATGACAGGCCTTCTGGGATATTTTTATAATTAAGTGGCAAACAATCATTTTTAAGGTTTGACTGTGTGTTTGTTTCCCTAATGTAGGAGCCACTAGTGCAAGGTCAATACTAAAATCACCCAACTATATTCTTTCTGAAAAAAACGAAGACTGAGATATCCAGAGTGAATTTCCAAAGTGTTTAGGGAGAACAAATTTCACAAGGTTAGAGGTGGAAATGTTCATGGGAGAAGATCATTTAGGAAGGAGATTGACTTTTTAAAATACTTTATTTCCAATTTATATTTTAGGTTGTATACAAGAATACTGGGTTTCATTATGATGTTTTATTGTTATTAATATTTTAGTATAAAATACTAGATTTCATTATACTTTCACATACACACATGCTAATGTACTGTGTTCACATGCACCTCCTGTCACTCTCTTTTGTCCTCTTTCCCTTTCAACTTGTCCCCTTCTGTCCCTAAATACTCTTTCTGCATTAATGTTGCATATATTTAAATCTTTAGTCTACAAATGAGAGAAATCATGTGTCCCCGATTCCCCTTTCTTGTTCCCCTTGCCTCCTTCCCTGGCATAGCACCCCTTTCCACTCTTAACACACACACACACACACACACACACACACACACATGCACTTCTGTTAGCCTGGCTTATTTCACTTAGCACAGCGATCTCCGGTTCTACGTACGTTTCCTACAAATGGCCATCATTTAAAGTATTTTCTATGTATTTCCTACATTCTAAACTTCTCATGAGCCAGGACTGAAGCACTCACTTTTCAGTGAAACGTTATAGCTAAATATAGTTTCCAATAAAGTCAAGCTTTTTTTTTTTTTCAAATACTGATTGCTTGTCATGTTACAGCAAACAGCAGAGGCTGTGACGTAGCAGCACTCCTGTGGCCTGGAGGTCTCTATTGCATTGGCAGTTGTGAAATTGCTCAGACAACTTCCTCAGAGAGTCACACTTGATTATTTCATCCAGGTCACTGTATTGTGCTTCTCTGAGTCAGGAAACCACGTCTGAAGGTTTAAGTCATCATATGTAGTCATTACCTGTTACGTCTGGACCTCTGCCCTAAGTACTGTCATACATAATGCCTGTTCCTCTTCACAGGGGAAGTCTATGGCCAAGCACTGATATTTGTCTTCTTCCTAAGGCAACTCAAGGGACTTGGTGGGAACATATCAAAACCAGTGAACTAAACCAAAGGACTCCATTCCCACCCAGTTTGTGAAAAGATAGAGGAATTGTGGTCTGAAGTGAGAGTTTCTAAAAGAAAAGTCTGTTTCTTTGGTCACTTACTCATTCACTGTGCTCAGGACCTCAGGGTCAACAGACCAGTGAAGGGGCTTTTCAGGGTAGGATGAGAGAGGCGGAGTTAGCTTCTCTTACAGGGCTTGTGAGGGGGTTGGTCGTGGGGCTGGGGACTGTTCAGAAGCATTAGAATATGGGTTAGGGCAGATGGTGTTGATGGTTAAATCAGGAGGGGCAAGAATAGTATTTGTGGTGATTTGATTTTCTAGGGGGAAACAGTCACAGGAAGGAGACATCATTGAGTCTGGTTTCTCCTTCCTGTGTCTCAAAGACAGAAGACAAGATGGCTGTCTTAGAGTGTTATGTTGCTGTGAAGAGACACCATGGGGGTCAGAAAGATGGCTCAGTGGTTAAGAGCACTGACTGCTCTTCCAGAGGTCCTGAGTTCAATTCCCGTCAACTACATGGTGGCTCACAACCATCTGTAATGGGATCTGATGCCCTCTTCTGGTGTGTCTGAAGACAGTGACAGTGTGATTGTATACATAAAATAAATAAATCTTAAAAAAATAAAAAAGAAAGAGAGAGACACCATGACCATGGCAACTCTTATAAAGAAAAGCATTCATTGGGGCTTGCTTACATTTTCAGAGATTTAGTCCACTCTTATCATGGTGGGAAGTGTGACAGCAGACAGGCAGGCATGGTACTAGAGAAAGAGGTGAGAGTTCCACATCCAGATCCACAGGCAGCAGAGAGAGACCGGGCTTGGCTTGAGTGTTTGAAATCCCCAGACCCACCCCAAGAAACATACCTTCTCCAACAAGGCCACGTCTATCTCCCAATCCCTCTCAAGTAGCGCCACTTCCTAATGACAAGAATTCGAGCATATGAGCCTGTGGGGGTTGGGGGGCATTCCTAGTCAAACCACCACAGTGGCCATTTTGACTTTCTCTCATTGGCAAAGCACACGCTGTCACACGTGCAGAGCGATCCCAGTGCCTTGGGATGCGGGAACTGTGTACAGTGTTCACATTCATCTGTGTGATGGCTGTCTTTAAATTCTAGTGCAATCATTTCTACTGGGTTTCCTCTTTGGATTTCGGAGAGACTTTTGTTCCACTGACCTAGTCATTAAACTCCGCCATGAGTTGTGCTGCTGAGGAACGTGAGCTGTCTGCTCTGCCCAGGTGCCCGGTGTTGAGGAGCCAGATGACGCACCAATGACTGAGGGTCATTTAAGGGAGTACCACCCTGCTCCTCTGGGGTGGTAGTAAGCGGAACAAGTAAATAATTAGTTTCTCCTAAGGTGAGGATATTCTTCTTAGGGGCCTGTGGGTGAAATCCAAGTGAACAGAAGCACACTCACATCATAGAAGATAGCAGGTGACTAGCACTGGTGGGTGTGGAGTTTGGATGCTTTTCTCCAGTCCGATTCCGAGGTGTGAAAATGCTTCAGCACACTAGGGCAAGGGGAATGTCAATCATAGGCTCAGAAAAGGTGGTGCTGCATTCTGGTTTCAGCAGCATTGCCTTGGGGTTCATTAGACATTTGGGAGCTATGTCATTTATCTGTGATGCCATCTCTCCCGGTGTTATCTCTATTACGTAACATGTTTCTTATCGATGTTCGTTCCCGGAGCACACTCACACAAGAATAACAATTTGATCCATTAGCAATTGAAAGGAGCTGTTTTCCTCTGGAGGGAATGCTCTGCCATGCCTTGCATATTCACCACAGGGCGGAGCTTTAAAAATATGTTTTAAATAGAAATAGATTTATGTCACTTTTTTTCTCTCTTTTATTCCTTAAGCCCTTCTCTCCTTCTTTCCTTCCAGTGTGGAGCTTTTAAGGCCTTTATGTTAACTGTGCCTGCCTATCTAATTAAATACTTCCCCCATAATTTATATAGCAAAGATATTCTGGAAAGGTTGCACGGAACTTTGTATGGTCAGATTACAGAGACACTGGGTGGACTTATTTCTAAAAGTATTTCAGCCATGATATTTGATTAAGTTCATTTTGTAAGTAAATAAACTCTATGTATCTGTTTACTGCACTTTAAAATATAACTTAAAAATTTTACCCATATATTATTTGGAGACACTGACAGTGGTGTTATAGACCTTTTTCAAGGTAGATTTAATTTCATCCTATTCCTGGCAGCTAAATTTATTTATTGATTTTTTTTCAATGATAGAAGTCATGGATTTCCAGCTAAAACATGTCTTTTAACTATTTTCCAACTAACACATAACTTTAAAAACCTAAATTTAACTGCTTTTATGTAGTGTGTAGTTTTGTCTACACCCCTTTGTGATCCAGGACGGTTGCACGAGTTCACCTGCCCCAAAGAACTATCTCCAATCCATGAATAGAAAACACACATGCGCACTCGTGGACACACACACACACACACACACACGTTATTCTTGAAATGCCTTGACTAACTCCAGAATTAAATTAGGATTGTGTACTCCTACTTCTTGCTATCCCAGGGTCAATTGGAAAAGGAGCCAGAGGCTACTTACCCCACAACTCACATGGCTGGCTGGATTTCTCTCTTCAGCTACTGCGTTACTGTGGCCCCTTCCCCCTCTCCCTGTCCTCCAGATTCTCTCTGCATCCTACCCTGGCAACTTTAAGTGTCCCACTCCTTGCTCAGCCTTTGGCTAATGGCAACTTTATTGATAGATCAGAAGCCAGTTGAGGGCAAGGACCTTTAGTGTTGGTAAACAGATTCCTGATTAAATCAAAACATCAGAACCACCCTCTATACTTCCAGACTTACTGGCTCAATGGCTGTCAAAAAATCTTATATTTTTGATACCTTAGTTTACGGGGATAGGTGATGTGTACACTCCAATCACTGCCTACTCTGCTGAGAAGATGGCCTGGCTGTAGGGCCCAGCTCTGTCGAGCCAATTTTTACCTGACATATTCAGCTTGGTCTGGATTTGAACACATAGTAAGGAGACCAGAATAATATTTATAGATTCTACAGGACAAAGCTTGGTCACAGGGGCCTGCCTCTCTTGGCGTTTATTCAGTCCTAATGCCAAGATTCTATTCATCACAGTGGACACGGGACTGTGAGTGGCCTTGCTTCCCCCAATCCCACAACTGTGATATGATCTCTGCCTGTTCTGTGGTCCCCAAAAGGCTCAAAGACCAAGGACAGGGACCAGGGCTGATGTGACCTGGTTCCCAATTGGAGGCCACTGGAGGCCTTTATTTGTGCATGGCTATGACTCCGCAAGTGGACAAGAAATGTCTTTGTTCACTGTTCTGTTAGACTCTGTTACTGGAAGTCCCCCAAGGCTAAATTTTTGGACAGTGGAAAGTTGTGAGTATCTATTTACACAGTACAGTGAAAAGCCTGAGTCCTAAGAAAGGTGGCTCATACCCAGAAAATTACAATCCTGATGCTTAATGTAGATTGGCAACTTCAGTTATCAACCAGAAGTCACATCCTAGTTTCACAAGAT